AGAATGTTGTAAATATAAAATTATTCTTGGGTAATAAACAATCTAATAAATAAATAGTGTTTCATATTTTTGTTGAAAATTTTTAAGAACAAAAAAAATAAATGTATAAATTCATTTTCATTATGTTTAGATTTTATTGCAATTCTAATCATTGCTTTTTAAAACAATAAACATTGCCAAAGACTGAAAGTATTTAAAAAAGTGATATGGGAAAAAAACATTTTTTTGATACTATGTCTTATTGCAGGCATTTTCATCCATGTTTGCCATAATTTTTTTTATTCATAAATTTATAAAATTTCTGCCTGCTGAAAATTATCCCTGTTATCAAGAGAAGAAAAAAATTAACGCATAGGTTGCAAGCATCTGGATTTATCCTCTTTTTTTTTCTTGAGAAGTGACAACAAAAATGTTAAACATTATTCACTAGCCTGTTTATTTACAAGAATAGTGTTTAATCCTTTGAATGTCAATTCTCAAGAAAAAAGTGTATACACTGTAATGAGGTAGAGCTTGGATGAATGATTCATTCTCCCATTTACATTTCTTTTGTTATGGGCATTATTCTATCCATGATATAATAACACTATAGTTCATGGACAAGATGGAATGAAATGGCTGAATGGAAAAAGAATGACGAACATGCTTTGCTCTCAAAGAGACTTTTATATCACTAAGACATACACAAAATTAATAGATATATACATGTGCCCCATGCAGAGAAGAATATATTACACTTTACTTTGCTGTATAGATATATGTAAGGAGAAACAAAAAGGAAGGGTCTTACCGATAATATAGAAATACCCCTGTACCTGGAGAAGCCATTTTTAGGACTCCAGATTCAAATAGTCTGGATTTACCAATGTCCCAGGCAAAGGCATATTTCACCAACAGAAAATAGCAAGATTTAGGTTTTCCCAAATTGAGAACTGTGAGCTGGAGTTTCATTTATTATCTGGAGAAGATATATTCCCAAAGAGGTAATGGCACCACGGACTTGTAAGCTACTGGGGAGGAAGATTTAGTCTCTGCCCAGGTCACTGGGGGGAGGGAGGCTCCTGAGCTAAAGAAAGCAACTGTACCATTTGGTTGTTGTAAACAAACTGAAAAATGACTAGTATTTTCAGCACTATATGGAGTGATGTCATTAAGCAGTCATCATGTGACCCAGATGATTTATCTCCACCAAAGGGAGATAAACACCTTCTGTATCCTTACAACATAAATCCAGTTTGATATTTCATTAATATTAATAAGTAATTTCATTAGTTCAAAACCTCTTCTAGCTTCTTGCTTTCTAGTCAACTTTGCATTTAAATTTTTTTTTAGATTAAATGGCAATTGTTATCTACTCTCTTTTTAATTCTTTATCTTTTGTTGTTCTCTCTCCTTAATGTTTTCTTTTTCTCATATTCTCTCACACTCTGTAACCTCTTACCTGCATCCTCTGTATGACAAACTACATCTGGCAGCAATACTTTTGATCAGGAGGTTGTGGGGAGTGTAGAGCCACCTCTTAATTGCTGTTGTTCCCATGTCAATCCAGGTAGCACCTGTTAGAGTCCCAACTATGGGGAAATAGTTAACCCCCAAACTGGGGTCAAGACACTATGAAATTATAAAAATACACTTTCATCATAAAAAAAATTTCCAGTAATACATTTTTGTGAAAAAACAGAAAAATTACCAGCAATACATTTTACTAATGCTCTCAAGAAAATTAAATTTTAGTATTAAATGACCCATAAGGAGTTTATATGCTGCTAAACAAACAATATCAATAGTAACCCCTTACATCTTAATGGCTTTATTGCCTTGCTTGGAGTAAAATGATTAAGAGAAAATATATTTGGGTTTTATTAACATTCTAAAATTAACTTTTTAAAACAAAAAGAATTGCCAAGTGAGTTCTGGTATGGATTATCTCCCCTTATACATATTCTGCATTTAAGTAAATCCAGTAGAACACACTTCATTCTAAGTTGAATAAAGCTTTAGTTAAATTACACCTGCATTTGTTATCTCATTACAGGAGTATACAGTAATAACACTTAAGAGAAAAAAAAAAAAAAAAACCTTTTGAAACCATTTTTCGGGTCTTTTTTTTTTTTCAGGTATATATGTTAAACTTTGCCATATTGTTAATATGAATTTTTAACCACCTAAATCTGTTAAGAAAATATTTGTGTATAAATGGCAACGTGTAAATTACTATAAGTAATTTATACTCTTTATTTATCATCTTTCAGTTGCGTGTCTGTCCTTGGACAGAGTGCACTCAGGGATTTCTCTATCTGAGGACAGGGGGGCAACTGAGGAAAATTATACTGAAGAGGTGCCCAGCCCTGGGGAACAGCTGTCCGAGACCGCGTCCTCCTATTGCACAAGAGGGAGGGATCAGTGCTCACACCGAGGCCAGCGCAACCGACGGCTGCAGGGGCTAAGGGGAGTTTTTGTCCCTGCCCAAGTGTACGTGCTCGGGTCCCCACATTAAAATGACCTTGTGTCACATCTCATTCTCGTGGGGGAATGAGTAAACACCGTGCATAAATGGCATTTTTAAAGACCAAACTTTTAGGCCCAACTTTTGCAATGTGGAGGTTAACTTAATAATTACATTAAAGTCCCTGCAAAGTTGGTGGGCTTTACAAGCAACTCTTGATGTCAAGCATGAAAAATATTCACCAATTAGTACGTGTAAATGAAGAAGACATAAAATAAGAGTTAATAGAAAAATCTATGTTGTGCCTTCAGCAAATGAAGTTCATCAGTTTACAGTCAGCTAACTTACATTTTGAATAATTTTCTCTGAAAAATGTCTGTTACAATAACATTCTCTTCTCATTGACATGAATAAATTTTTGCATAGAAATCTATTTAAGCTCATCATCTTCTATATGCCTTATTCTTTAAAACGTTGTTTCTCTATAATTTCTTGTCCTTTGTAGCTTTTATTAGATTTTGTCTTTTTGTTATCTCTACTAAACCCTGTTCTGCTATTCATTTATTCAAGCTCATTAGGTAGGTTATGTGCTGCTTTCCTCTATCCCTCTTACCTTCAATCTGGCCTGTGAGTATCAGTTTTTCCAAACCATCTTTCCTCATTATGCACCCCAGAAATCTCTTTCTGATGTTAAACTATAAGTATACTTTTTATTTCTATTTTCTCTAAAACTTCATTGTTGCTCACATATTCAGCCCATGGTATTCTCAGCATCCTTCTGTAGAGCCACATTTCTATCACCTCAAGTTTTATCTTCATCTGTGTGGTGATGATCTGGCATTCACTGCCATATACGAGGACTGATATTACATAACAGTTCAGTACTCTTTTCTTTGTTTCTAATTAAATATTCCTGTTTCTTAACAAAAGCTACGTCCTGGGTAAGACGATAAACTACGTCCAGCAAGGCCTCTGATCAGGAGGTTTTGAGGAGTGTGGAACCACCTCTTAACTGCTGGTGTTCCCAGGTCCGCCCTGACCTGGGGTGGTAGCACCTGTTAGGGTCCCAGCTATGGGCAAATAGTTAACTATTACCAGCAATAGTTTTTTGAAGAAATTATTACAATTTTGAAGGAAAAATATTACCAGAAACTGATTTTTTGATAAAACAAAATATTACCGGCAATAAAAATTGTCAGCATTAAATAACCCTAGGTTGATATGCCGTAAAACAAAATAAACCAAACCAATCTAAACCAAAGAATATATATTGTATTCATACGAATCCATCGTAAAAATGTTGTCGGCATTAAATAACCCATTGAGGTTGATAAGCCGTAAAACAAAATAAACCAAACCAAAAGCTAAGTAAAGTATCTTTCATTATCCCAATGCATCTTCAGATAAACATTTTTTTCTTTGGCACTTAGTGCTTCAGACTCACTGACCTTCAGTTTATAGGACAAAGGAGAAAATTTCAAAGAGTTTCCTGAAATGTATTTAGTTAGTTCTTCCCATTCTCCTTAGAACATTGGGTTCCTATTAATCCTGCATTCAAAGATGTGCTAATAATAAGGGTTTCAATGGAAATCTGGATTCACAAGAAGTCTCCAGCCACATGTATGAAATGTCTTTAAATGCCTTAAAATATAGTGTTTGATTACCTTAATTTGTTGTTCTACTATACTCAAAATGTAAGGTTAGCCTATACACAAGATATAATTAATGATTTCCTGATCAAATATTGTAAGTCAGCCTTTAGACAAGATCTCCTTATATATGTTGTTTATACAGTATTTCATGCTAGGAATTACCTCATATATAAAGTCTGTAAAAAAAAAAGCACACATAAAATTATTTGACAAAAATAAGTGCAGAGATTTAACTTACAAAATAGATTGAAGCTTTGATCAGTCAGGTATACTGTTTACATCAGTATCAATTTAGAAAAATAAGTTCATTGATAAAAAAAAAATGTCTGTTATTTATTAATAAAATTAAGTCTGAGTAAATTCAGATTTTCAACAAAGGGATATTTACAAAGATTATTTTGTCATGATAAAATTAATTTAACATTTTTTTTTTTTAATCATTTTCTCTAAAAATGATTTTTAAATCTGGAATTTTCCTAATTTATTTCAGGGTTGGTAAAGGCAGACAACTTCCCTAATTGATTATATTTCAGACACAAATCATTTTAAATTCCAGTCTGACTTTGAAGACAAATAGAATTGAAATGATCACCATCTTTAAAATAATTTCTTTCCAATAATCTACTTTTTGCTTGTTTATTTTTAACAAATTTTATAATTAAACTCTTTTATTATTAATTTTTTGTCAATCGTCAAGATGAAATTCCAATGGAAAGAACCACTTGAACAACTTACAGGAGTCTCTTACGAATCTTTCTTTTAATTTCTTTCTAAATTGTACTGGTGAAAGATAAAATCTCTACCACAACTACTACTACTACTAAATTCTAGAAGAACTCAACACTCACAGCGCCGAGCATCTATTTTCCAGGATAACTGGTTGTTCTAATTTTTGTCCATAGGAAATTCCATCATGTGCAGCGTTATTCATTCCTGCAAGCCCGGGATGCAGCAGACAGCTTGCTAGAAGATGATGATGACGACCCACCCCTTGACCCTAACCCTAACTTCAGCCATATAGAAATGACTGAAGAGCAAACGGATGCTGTAGGAGGGGGAGGTAGAGTAACATTTCATTCCTTTTTCAATAACTAAAATATTTAACAAAAAAAAAAAAAAAAAAATCAAAAGATAAAATTTTTTTTTTTTAATCTTTTTTTAATTTGTTTTTCACATGATTTTTTTTTTTTTTTTTTAAATTATTTTTGTTCTTTCATAATTTTATTTACTTCTTGATAATTTTTTTTCTTTCCGCAATAAGCTGCAATTTCTTTTATTTCATTTTTTTTTTTGGTTAGGGTCACAATTCAGGCCTTCAAACTTCAAGGTTTGAAATAACTGTTTCTCACGTAACCAGAAATTCACTTTTTATCCTATCAGAATTGATTTTTAAAATTATAATTTTTTTTTTTTATCATTAATTTTTTCTGCTTATCTTTTTTTCTTTTTTTTGCTAAATTGTATTTCTCTTTGTCACATTTCTTCTTTTTTTCATTTTCCCATTGCCATCATTCATATGTTTAGCAATTTCTTTATATCTATCGCTCAATTGTCTGTAGGAGTCCTTAATTTTCACTTGTTCACATTTATCTAATACTTTTTTATATATCATTGTCAATTCCTGTATTGCCATCATTCATATATATATATATTCTATTGATTTCTTTATTATATATATATTCTATTGATCAAGTTATTTATCTGTCTGTATATATATATATATATATATATATTCTATATCTATTGATTTCTATTGATCTATTGATCAAGTTATTTATCTTTATTATATATATATATATATATATATATATTCTATTGATTTATATATATATATATATATATATATATTGATATATATATATTCTATTTATATATATATATATATATATATATATTCTATTGATCAAGTTATTTATCTGTATGATATATATATATATATATATATTTATCTATATATATATTATTTATCTGTATATTATATCTATATATATTCTATTGATCAAGTTATTTATCTGTATTTATCTGTATTATATATATATATATATATATATATATATATATTGATATATTTATCTATTGATCATTTATCTGTTATTTATCTGTATGCTATTATATATATATATATCTATTGATATTATTTATATATATATATATATATATATATATATATATATATATATATATATATATATATTCTATTGATCAAGTTATTTATCTGTATGCTATTCATATATATATATTCTATTGATCAAGTTATTTATCTGTATGCTATTATATATATATATATATATATATATATATATATATATCTATTGATCATTATTATAGTTATTTATCTGTATGCTATTATATATATATATCTATTGATCAAGTTATTTATCTGTATGCTTATATATATATATATATATATATATATATATATATATCATTGAGTTATTTATTGTATGCTATTCTATATATATATATATCTATTGATGTTATTTATCTGTATGCTATTCTATATATATATATATATATATATATCTATTGATCAAGTTATTTATCTGTATGCTATTATATATATATATATATATTGATATTATTTATATATATATATATATATTCTATTGATCAAGTTATTTATCTGTATGCTATTCTATATATATATATATATATATATATATATATATATATATTCTATTGATCAAGTTATTTATCTGTATTTATATTCTATATATATATATATATATATATATTCTATTGATCAAGTTATTTATCTGTATGCTATTCTATATATATATATATATATATATATATATATATATATTATTTATTTATCTATATATATATATCTATATTTTATTGATCAAACTATATACCTATTAATTTCCCTTTTTTACAAACTTCTTATTCAATTTGTCTTTTAGATACACAACCAAAAATTATTTCTATATTAAATACTGCATCATTTCAGAACATGATTTCATATTGTTTCTGTATGATGACATGAAAGAAAAAACAACTAAACATCAGCTGTTGCTTTCTGTCATATTCACTCTTTTCTGTCGGCTTTTAAGTACAGTTAGTTCACAAAATTAATCTAAAAGGTGAGAACAGTTCCTATTTGACATATTTTCAATATATAGCCTTTTTATAAATCACTTTCGTGAAAGAAATTTATGTAAATGATTTAAATTGGATCATCAAAGACTGAACAAAAATAATCACACAAAGTTATCAATATTAATAACTTAATATGAACATTCTTAACTCAGAAACTGATCAGTCAAGCATTTCTAACTCTTGTAAATGGCCATTTTTTTTTCTATGGGAATCACTTATACAGACAATCTAATAAAGATGCGAGTTTTTCAATGATTGTACAAACATAATTAAAGTCGATTTGTCTTGACAACTATCTAGACCAGCGATTTTCAGCCAGTGTGCCGAGAGAGGATCATAGGTGTGCTGTGAAAATTTTTAAAGGTCATTAATTAAATCATTTTTGAAAGAAGTCCAAAGCACAATAAGTGTGTGAAGCAAGCTTTTCTGCAATAAACAATATTAAAAACAAAAATCGATCACAGCTAGAATTGTTGGAAGAAGATTTAAGAGTCTGCCTGTCCAAAATTTGACCTTGCAAAGATATTCTAAAAAACATCAAACTCGGGTATCTCATTAAATGTTAAATTGTAATAAACAGAAAAATAAATTTTATCTTTTTATTACCACAAATTATAATAAATTGTTTTTGTTTGTGTTAAGAAATAAATCATAAAAAGTATACTTTGTCATTTACTCTTTTTATGATCATCATAATTTAAGTGTGCTGCAGAAGCTTAACCATAGTTTCAAGTGTACTGTAAGATAAAAAAAAAAAATTGAAAACATTGATCCAGATCATAATTATTTTTCTGTAAAATCCTGTCCTGGGTAAGACGGTGGACTACATCCAGCAGCGGGGCCCTCTGAGGAGCGTGGAACCACCTCTTAGTTGCTGGTGTTCCCTGGTCCAGGTGGAACCAAAGAATGTAGTTCATCTGCACATCTGCCATGAAAATAGCAATAGAATAAAAAAAGTCTATCAATATTTCATATGTGGGAAAGGGATTGTAGAAAGGAAAATAATTCATCACCCACAAGGCTATGTAAACACTTTTGAACCCTATCAAAGCTAGAAAGTGAAGGTTTTTTTGGGTTTTTTTTTAAATAATGCTCACCCCATACAAAAGTTAAGAGCCACTCGAGGTAGAGGGCTACAGTATAAGAGGCACAATTTATGGGGATATGCAAGGAAGATGACACTTAACTCTAGATTAGAACAAGTTAAGATTTTAGTGATCAAGGAAGCATCCTCTTGGGAGTTGGTTCCACAAAGTAGTGATGTGTGGGAGGAAGTTGCTAGAATTGAACTTACATCTCACCAATGGGATACAAAGGAAATGAAAGTGGTTTGCCTCAATATGCGTGGCATGGTAGGTCTTAATGGACAATTCCAGCAGCAACACACCTCCTTTTTTTTGGGTCAGATCTGGCTCTTGTAAAGATAAATATGTAATATTGGTAATTTACTTGGTTTGGTCCAATTGAAAATTTTTGTAACAGTGATTTTTTAAGCATAGCTTAGGTGTGGCACAAGGCCGAAAGCATGAACTATGTCTTTATTTCCTTAATCAATTCTTTCATCAAAATTTTGGGAAATATATTTGCTCTTCACTGATTAATGCTAGTTTAAAGATGGTTTCAGTTAAAACCTAATAAATATAATATAATGTAGCAACAAAGATGCCATCTCTTCAAACACTTTAGAATAAATATTGCTATCCAAGATTCAATACCAAAAATTTCACCGATATCATGACTTATTTCTTTTAGGCACTTATAAAATTTGTAATACCAAAAAGATATGAATATTAATATTTTTGTTAAATGGTGTAACACAATGGAAAGATATTTTCTTATTCTAGAAATTCTTTGGTACTACCTTCAGTTTGACTCACTAATATGGTTTAATCTAATAGGATTGTTGTTTGTTCAAGCAGCCATGTTAATATAAAATGTCTATTTAAAAAAAAAAAAAAAAAAAAATACACGCACAAACATTAATATTTAAGAATTCTCTTGGGATTAATGTATGAGGGAAAGTATAAAAAATTAACCACACTCTTATATACGGATATGTTATGTCAAAATGTAATATGTATTATTAATTGGTCATATTTTTACTATTTGATCTCTTGTGTTTTATAACTGAAATGATGTCCAACCAAGAATAAGAAAACATTAGTTTTTTATTTTTTTTTTTTTGTCTGAAATAGCCTAGCAGATTAAAGCATTGGCTCATGAATTTGGTAACATAGTAATTGTGAGTTCAATCCCTGGGTCGGGCAGTGTGTACTACTTGAAGTGGAAATAGGGTGAGCTATAACTGAGCAATACTAAAAATAACAAGACAAGATATCCCTAGAGATAGGCAGTGGAACAAAAACCATCTACCCCTGTAGATTAAATAGGTTCAGTTTAGAATTTGCTGTATGTTACCTGATGAAGGTTAGAGGGCACAATGTCCGAAATATTGTGATAACAACAAAGATGAGGATTATAGTCTGCATATAAATAGTGTAAATACTGTTGTTTTGTTCATTTAAAATGCAACCAAAAAGTATAAGTTTTCTTTTAAAAAAAAAAAAAAAGTACCTGTAATTTCTCCTTTCATGTGTAAATATGCAGTAATAAAACTATACATAAGTAAAAATCAGGATATTTTTAATTGTAATGTATTTGTTCTTTTTTTCAGATTAACAACTTAGGAATAATTACATTTTTTTTTTTTTAACTTATTTCACCCCAAGCAAAGTGACAATGCCACTAAGACTCAAGGAGTTACTGAGAGTGAAAGAGAAGGAGATGATTTTAGTGAGAGAAAGGACAATAAAAGAATAGGATTCAGGAAGACAGATTGACATTGCATTTAAATTTTTGAAGATTGTAGGTCACTGAAAAGCACAAAACCAGAAAAGAGTTCCACTGGCAAGCATGCAAAAAAAAAAAAAAAGACGATTAGAATAGAACTTACAATTA